ATGAGCTTAGACAAGGCTAAATGCAAGTGTTGATATGCCAATGAAAGTTTCCATCACGTGTGGTTAATGATGGCATTATTCATTGAGTATTAACAAGGCGTCAAACACAATGGCCTCAGGCGAACATAGAAAGGTATATCATTCGAACAATGATGCCAATCATGCCCAATGGGAGAGAGGGAGGGGGCATCATGTTTGTAATTATTTTCACAACATCCTTCAATAATTAACAATTTACTAACAAAATGGGGTCATGAAGAAGCTCCGGACTTGTTGATCCAAAGATGAAGCTCCTTTTTAATTGCCTCATAAAGAGGCTCGTCCTTTTTTGGCAAAAAAGTTCCATTAAGCGAGAGCGCATTTAGATGAGCTACAAAGGTAAGTGTCACATAGTCCCCATAGCAATAGGACTGCACAGCCAACGCTTCAGATTCAGAGTGGTAACGCTTAATACGTTCTCTGGATTTCAAAATTTTTGGAGCCACGCGATCTAACATCTTTTGATAGAATATCTCCATGTCTTCCTGTAAAAGCAAGCCATTTTGCGACCAATGTGAGGGAAAACACCATTCGCTGACCAAATGCACATTAGATTGACTTTTATCAATCCTTAAATAGTGTTTTGCAAGCAAATCGGCAATTTCAACACTGTCAATCAGTGCTTGATTGGCACCCTGACCTTTAAATGGACTCATCGGATGTGCTGCATCCCCTATCAGCCAGATACCCTCCTTTAAGCATTGCGGAATGCAAGTATAGACACCCTGGTCATATATTGGCATGGCAATCAAAAGGGAAAGAGGGGTATTTGATATCAGGTCAGGAATTGGACAGTGCCATTGCCCAAGGTTGTTCATAACGAACTTCAAAAGCGAAGCATGGCCGCTTATTTTTCCAAATTCAATAGCTTCCGATTCTTCAGCAACCAAAAATGACAATTGCCACATGTAGGATTTTTGATTGCCTTCGTGGTCAAAATTTCTGGGTTCCCTATGTGGCATGGCGTAAAACCTGAATTTGCCATCGACAGACTCGAATATGGTGTTATCCGAACCAAAACATCCATTTTGGAGAAATGATATTCCCAAAACAACAACCACACCCAAATACCTAGCAATTACAACACTTAAAGGCGAGTTACTCCGAGGGAGAGCAATCGTATGCAAGCTTTCTAACGGCAGAATTAATTCCATCAGCACCTATTAGGATATCTGCGGTCGATTCAGTGCCGTCTGCAAACGATAAAGTAAACGGTGGAGCGCAATTGGTGGTCTCCATCGAAAGCAGCTTTGAATTCCACTTTAATGAAGAATTCGCCGGAAATAGTCGCAAATATTCCTGTAGCAGCAATTCGCGTAACGCCTGTCTTGATACATGCAGATTCCTTTTGTTTGAAATAACGGACGATGGATTAGAAGAGTCATCGCTCCAAAATACAGTTCCAAAAACCCCAAGTAGGCTACCTGAAGGGCCATGGAATGTATAATGGGCTAGAGCAGGTGCATCCAATTCCTGCCGAACGCGCTCATAAAGATTGAGACGGCGTAATGCAGAAAGCCCCTGCATGAGCGTCAATCCATATCCCTGTCGTCGGTCGCTAAATACAGCATCTCGTTCGTATATGACAACATTCCTAAATCCTTTTTGATGGAGTGCAATGCCTGTGGCTAAACCGGCAATTCCAGCCCCAACAATTGCGATTTGGGGCTGTATCTGTGGGGAATTCAAAACTTCCATGGATGAATTTTTAATTTTTGTATTGCAAACAAATTTAGTTTTAAAATAGAATTACATATGCGACATGGTATGGCCATTCAGCATATCTTAGCATATCGTAGGATATCCCAGAATGACTTGAGATATCACACCGAATCCTAAAATAAGCTAACACATCACACCATATCATAGTATAACATGGTTGTATTTGGTTAGGATGCATCAGAAAATTAATTATGTCTTTTAATGTATTTTAAATTCTTAATCTTGTCTTTTAATATTAGATTTTAAATTCCTAAATTTATGTCTTTTAGTCCGAATTTAGAATCCAACTCATTATCGGTAGATGCGAATGCTGCTCAGCTTGGGCATGAACCTACGGACGAGAAGAAGCACATAAATATTAAAGTTGTTGGGGCCGTACAATTTTTGTTTTAATCATAGGGCTTTTCGGAAATGTACTTCAGGATAAAAACCACTACGCAGTTAAAAAAGCTAATGGACAACTATGCCGAAAAACAAGGTAAAAGCGTCTCCTCCCTCAGATTCCTGTTCGATGGGGAACGGATCAACCCGACAGATACACCTCATAAGTTAGGGATGGAAAATGAGGATGTCATTGACGTTAGGTCTTTCCAGGTCGGTGGGGATCAAATGGGTGCCGTACTTCTAAACAAATAAACAACGTATACCAATAAATTTATTGCTACAAACATGCTTATGAAAATTGAAATCTCTTAAGATGTGGTTGATTTGATCCCTGAATAAAGAAAAAAGAGCCAGGTGCATGGGCATTGATTCGAGAGTGTCCGGAATGAGACATTTGCATCAGGTGCCTAAGGTTCTTCTCCAGCCGTAGTTTCTCCTTTGCTGTTTTTAAAATTATTCGGGATTGATTAAGGGACCTGTTTACCAAGACCGGTGTTGACTTGTACGTGTGATGTGGAGGGAGTGGGGGGAGGCCATCTTTGACGAGGTTCGTATTTTCATCCATGCTTAGCATGGCATTTGGCTCCATCAGAGGTGTATTACCCAACATGGGTTGACACTTCAAGAGGTTAAGCCAATTCATTGGCATCCCCTTGTTTTCATTTCTAATAGCTTGTACCAGATCCAAAACAACAGGCCTGGATCGAGAAGCAGCCAGCGACAGCTTTCGCGTAGTGCATGCAAGCCTGTTTATATCTATCGAGAAGATTAATAAACAAAAATACACTTAAGTAGCGACTCGAATAAGAGAGACACAAATTCTTTTTCAAAATACTCAAATTGGGAGGTCCCTATGGGTCTCTCAGTTGCCGCGCAAGCTTGGGAGCACATGATTCGAGAAATTAGTATGGAAAAGACACGATAAAAGCTACAAATATCCATCCCATGTTCCCCAACAACAGAGTAACATGTGGGAGAGAAAATAGACGGCGAGAGCGATGTTTGAGAGCCAAAGGCAGAGAGCTTACTCTCTGACATCGGAAAATAAACTTTAAATTACAACATTTTATTACAAGTTGACGGTGGTGGCATAATTTACTTTTGAAACCTGCGTAGCGATAGGACGCTTCTAAAATCATCTACAAATCTAAGCGCATCAAGAAAAGGTAATAGATCCAGCAGGGCTTCGTCTTTCCTGTCGCTGAACCATGAGTCCACAAGAATCCCGTTTTCTAAAATAATGCATTTGCAAATACCTGGGTTGATGATGAAGCTTGCAGTGGCATTGTCTATCAGTGCTATGTGGGCAAGATTGGGCTCAATTATGCGTAGATCCTTCAAATAAACACCACTTCTGGCAATACATGACTATTTATAAGAATTTAACAAACCTGTCTAAAGAGGCGTTTTTGAAGGAGAACAGATGTCGAGTCGAGCCAGTCTATCACGGGATCTGCATATTCCGGAAGTGATGCCGTAAAAATCACTATTCGATACCATTCCGATATCTAAAGTAACGGTATCAAGCTTACTTTTTTCAAGAACAGGTCAACATATGGCCTTTTGAAGACGTAATAGAGGCAAGAAGACTTTCCCACAAGAACCTCAATCATTGCGTCATAGTTGCGTGAAGATTTACTTGTGGAGTGCACCAGTGTTTCATCCAAGTCCAAAACAAGCGTCTTTTGAATCTTCGGGAGATAAAGCCGGCGACGCGGAAAAAAGGAATCGGGCAGTGAGCATATGTATGCCGCTATTTCTGAGATTGAGAATGGTAAGAGATCCTTGGACCTGGAGCCCTCTTCATCTGAAACCGCACCATCCTTGGGGGTATCAATTTTCATGAAGAGCCAATCTAACTGAATTTAAAATCTTGTAAATTGCAAATTTTTCAATAAATTTGAGATGTTACTTGATTTTTGGACCGCCCCAAACATACCACCGTAATGGGTCACTTCAGCGAGGAGCTGTTCGCTAGCCTGCTCAAGAAAACACAGGATGATTTTGGCGCTTCGATAGTATCATTTCAAACAATAGATTCAACCCAAAGATTTCTTGAGCAGAATAGCCATCAATATCGATCGGGGACAATACTGGTTGCTGACCACCAAACAAACGGTCGAGGGCGCGGTTCCAATTCTTGGGTGTCAATCCCTGCTGCTCTGCAATTTTCGTTTATTTTAAAATTACCAAAACAGTCCCAAAGCCAAATCAGCCTTTTTCAATATTATGCGTCTTTGGCGATGGTGGAGGCGATTAGCTCCTTTGCTTGTGCCATCCGCCCTTTCTCGATTTCCGATCCCTTTTCTTGTATATACGACCCATCTTCTATTTGTTTCAAACAGATTGGGATCAAATGGCCTAACGACATTGTGTTCATTGATGGGGATCATTCTGTGAAGGTCGGTGGCGTTCTAGTAAGCTCCTCATCTTTTGGATCCGAAATAACACTGATCATAGGGATAGGAGTGAATCTGTTTGCGTGTGAGGGGTTTAGACCTTCCTTTGGGTCTCTATCTTTGTGTGGAGGTTTGGATCTTTGCAGCCTCTCTAGAAAATCCTTACTGGCAGAATTTTGCTTTCAATTTTCAAGCCTCACGCCACGGTTCCTTGCAGATTTCAGCTCTTTTTCCTCTCATTATTCGTCAAGATGGATGCACTCGGGCAAAATATTGTCCTTGGAACAAGATGGGTTTCTTGTCCATACCACTGGTATCGACTCCACCGGAATGCTTACCGCTCGAAAAGTACTTCCCGTGTTGGGCCCAATTATTTTCAAAGCGTCCGCATATTTCTGTTCCAACAGACCAATGTTTAGCTGGATGCCCCGGTTGATGATAAACAATATTTTATTGCCCATTCTATTGGGATTCTCAAAACTAATATACACAAAAGATATTTTGTTGGAGCCCAGTTTGTATTCGCTGGACATTTCGAAATTGAGGATACATCGCAAGGCTCTATAGAGCGTCTTTTAATAAAAATCTTATGGTCTGTTTGGTTCTAAAGCTCATAGAGCAATATGGAGATTCTTTGCAGCTTGGAGAGGGGCGACGGAAAGCCTTGATATCGGCCCAGTAGTGCATCAATGACCGGTATATACTTGTCCCTTAAACATTCCCCAAATAAGCCTTCGAAAACGGATATATCAGCTAAAATCGGGTCCCATATGGCCTCCTTATAAACAGACTTTAGGAAAAAGTACTCGTGATTCGCCTGGATGATATATGAAATCAGAGACCGCAACAACGTTCTTTCTTTTTCAATGATCAAAGGCGAAATCTCACCATTGCAGCGGCAGCTAGAAAAATCCGAAAAGGCAAGAGAAAAGAACTCACTGCTGATATTATTTCCAGCCTCACCCTCACATTCCATCTCATCATCACTGTCATCATCATCATCATCGTTGAGGACAAAGAGAATGTTTTCACAAGAGAAAGACCCGTGTGCAACACCTCGACGATGAATATCTGCCAAAAGATTAAGCACGGACCTGACAAGTTGCAAGGCTATAATTTCATCTGGAAATGGTGAAATGGCATTTGCGGTCTCTACGACGTCTTTGATGGCATATTGCGAAACAAACGGGGCCAGCACAATTGTAAATTTCCCCATCATTGTGGCATACTCTGTGAGGCCTTCACAAAGCAAACGGAATTGATATCGCGGATCATTGATAAGAATGGAGGCCTGGCATTCGTTTTTCGCGCTGGAAAAGTCGTCCACTTTCCTAAGGATAAAAAAGGATAGCTTTTGTTTTAAAGAAGAAAACTCCTGTATCAAATAGGAAGAGTTTGGCAGTTTTTGGACAAATCTGTATTGCTCTCCGATGAGAAGGAACGGATAAATGTCTGTGGAGAGTTTGGAAAAGTCTGCTGCCTTTGAGGAAAAGGATTTTCGCGGCAAAATTGATTTTCTTCCGCTATGAGAAGAAAACGGAGAAAGAGCATGACAAAATTCGAGGAAAAGCATCAGCCTGACAAGAGGAGTCCCACAGAATTTGGCATCTTTTTCGTTTAAAATTTGAAAATCCGGTGCACAACACAAGGCTTTGAATGTTGAAAATGAAGTAGTTAATGAAGAGGCACTTACATGGCTACCATCTGCCATATCAACACATTCCGGGGGTTCGTTTCTAATTACAGAATCAACGATCTTTTTATCGCCTTTTATAAGTACAATTTCGTCTTCATTGATAGGGCAGTCCTTTTCGGAAGGACTGGCTTCCGTTGCAGGCTTTTCGTCGAAGCTTTCGAGGGTCACATGTTGGACAGGCACTATTTCTAATGATTGATAATTGTCCAAAGCTCCCGCGAAACACCGATCAGCAGAGGTAGAGGCAGATATAGCACATTCGCTCTCACTCCCAACATCATAGAAAGAAGAAATAGACAGGACCGATTTTTCATTTTGAAAGTTGGGGCTTTTAGGATCGACTTTTGGAGCTCTAGCGTCACTAAAATTGGCGTCAAGAAAGGGCGAATTCTCATCATTAAAGGAGAGGGGAAAAGAGGGAGGAGAGCTTTCAACAAAAGTAGCAGGTATTTCCGAAATGTACACATCGTTGGCGGCAGTTGTTGCAGCAACGCTTCTCAGATAGAGCTTTGATCTAGCCTCCTCAAAAGAGAGGCAATAGATATCCGAACCGGGCACCATTCCCAGCAGCTCTGCGTTGTATCCACGGCGGGTGGCCGAGGCCGTGCTTTTCTTGGCTCCTGACCTGCTGATGATGGATTCTAAGGCTTGTTTTAAAAGAAACATCGGCTCGGCTTCATGAGACAATCCGATGCGCAAAATATGCTCAGCCTGGATGGGACTAGTAAGCTTTATGGATGATGGTTACACATACCTTCGCCTTCTATTTTCGTAATAGTTTGACAGATGCAAATACAGTTGGGATGAAAATTTACAAATCTCCAAGTCAAGCACCTGGGCGTACAGTGCATCACTCTCCTCGTCACAAGTGCGAGGATGTTCACAAAAAGAAATAATAAGCTGCAAAAGGCGACGGTCTTGACGGTAGCTTTTATCGTTGATGAATTTTAAAATGATGCGCTTGATTTTTTCACAATCGTCTGTTGGCAGGGAACGCGACATCTCCATGCCTAGGGGGTCAAAGCTCGACTCCATTCGAAATTGGAAGTTGGGATTTTTATTTCAAATTAAAATGCACTGCCCTCCCTCCCCTCCCCTCCCCTCCCACATGGCACGCACCAAGGCAACTTGAAATTCCAAAAAAGCAAATTACGAAAATTTAAGCGTCTGTGTCACAAGGAACTAACATTTATGTCCGTTAGCTGATATCTCATCCAAACCGGTGCCCTGCAGGCGGGACGCCAGGTCTTCAGTCGAATATTTTTCTGCTTGATAACACACTATTGCAGGCTCGCCAGGGATTGCCAGGGTCATCTTCTGCATCAAAAACGCCTCCAGGGGAGAGGCGGCATTGCCCTGATTGGCCGAAAGCTTTTCCACCGTAAAAATAGGCAATGCTGGCAAAGAAAGGGCGTGCCTTAAATGAGGCAGGAAAACATCAAGCATTTGCATCTCGTCAAACAGAAGCAAACGATTAAAAGCGGAAGGGCCTACAGACTCGACTCTCTTTTTCAATTCAACCATCCATGGGACCACTTTCTTTGAGATTTCTTTTGGAAGAGGTGGTAGGCTATTTTTCAGAGCAGCATGCATGCGTGAAATGATGGCGGAATCTTCTTCACACCAAACTTTGTGAGGAAAATCTGCCTGTTTGCGATGTAGAGACTCCAGCAATTCGATTATGATCTTCTGCCACGAAGGGATTTCCTTGGCGACAATGATGGTGAGGGCATTTTCTCCTTTTTTCATCGATCCAAGCGCTATTCTCAAGCGATACTCTACATCGATCGCGTATGCATCAATAGAAAGCAGCTCGCGGACCTCTTGCAACGGCAAAAACGTTGCAGGCCAACGCGGCCGTTCAGGAAGAAACTCTTTCCCTTCAATCAGAGCCAAGATATACTCTGAAAAGTGTGATGTAATCGGGTACATCAAGATAGCTTGAATCCGGATGTATCTATTAATGACCATGGTATGCAGGCCGCATTTGGTAGAGCCGGACGAACACAGTTCTCGGTATCGATCGCGAGCATTAGTAAGCTCGTGAAATGACCACTTTAGTGCTTCGCGGTAAAGCATCTTATCATAAGCATCGTAGGCCCTTTGCACACAATCATCCATCCTGGCCAGCATGATTTTGTCAAACACATTTAGGGCCGTTTCATCGGTCCTTTGCAAATCCGAGCAAACCACAGACTCCATCCATTCAAGAAGAGTGTGCAGCTTCAGAACAGCTGCATTTGCAGTCTCCACGCTAAAGTTGGCATCATCGAGGGTATCTCCGGCGTCTGCAAGTGCAAATCGAGTGGCGTCGGCCGAAAAGCTATCCAACGCATCGGACAGGGTCATAAAATTCCCGGTCGATTTAGACATCTTTGCTGCATTCAACAAAAGATGACCATTTACGCGCATTCCCTTTGGCCAACATGGCTTTGGGAACAGCGCACAGTGGGCATAAAGCATAAAGGTTAAATGATTAAATAAAAGATCCTTTCCCGAAACACGAAGATCCATCGGATACCAGAAGGAGAACTCTCTTTTCATTTTCAATAACAGATCAGGTGGGATTTGGGACGAGGCAAGAACTTCTTTCGGAATATCAGACTTTGATTGTGCACTAGATCCGTTAAAAAGAAAGCTCCACACTGCACCTGTCATTTCCGATGCAGCGATGGTGCCCCCAGAGCCGTCTAGAGATCCGTTTTGTAGGAAATGCGAAACGGTGTAATATGCCATGTAGATGGTAGAATCCGACAGCGATTCAACAAGAAAAGAAGTGTCCCATGGCAAGCGAGATCCAAGCCCAAACGACCGAGCACAGGCCCATTGACCCAGCCAATTGATGATAAAGTCCATTTGATGGCGAGCTTCTTCATGAAAAAGCTCCATGCACCCAAGAAGAGCTACAACCTTTTCTTTCCAGCAAGGTTCCCCATATGCAATGTACCACTGGTCCATCAGCGCAACCACGCATTCATCCCCAGTTCTAGCGACAACCTTTCCTTCTGGCTCGCAGTAAGAAATGGCCTTTTTGGAGGACAGAATATCCGCTTTGATCAAAGGCTTGGCATCTGCCACGGTTTGTCCCTTATAAGGGCCTGTAAGCATGATTCCAGAATAAAAGCCATCCTTATAGGCAAGGGCTTTGGCTTTGGCAAGTGCCTCTTTGTCATTTTGCGAGCGGATATTGAAGGTAGCACAGAGCTCAGAAGCCAAAAGTGGAGTGGAATAGCCCTGGGTTTGGATAATACCGATTGGTTCAAATGGAAGAACCATTTCATCCGAGATGCCAAACTTTGCCCTCAAGGCTGGCTTCTGTCGCAAGTCCCAAAGAGCAGCATAGTCATCTGGAGAATCGGAAGGCACAGACGCTACTATCCCTGTTCCTTTATCGGGAAGCAAATTCAGAAATGGCAACACAAATAAGTCATCATAAGACGATGGTGAGGTGCAAGAAGAGGCTATTGGAGACTCTACCTTGACGCCCATCAGTTGTGATCCCAAAATTGGGCAAATTATGTGATAGGAGCCCATGGTGGGTGTCCATCCTTGGTAGGATCCATTCAGAAGAGCCCTCTCCGTGCAGATCCCAATCCACCCAGCAGTATGGCGAAATGCGACGTACTGGATATCGGCGGATGCCCAAAGATTTGTCAAACCATATAGAGTTTCCGGTCGAAGCGTAGCGGCAATCAGGTAAACTTGTGCGTTTGAAATGCCGTGTTGAGATGGTTCCGAAATCAGCGCAAAAAGCGGGTCAGACTTCACGTCCGGAACAACTCTAAAAAGAACGGCTGTATATTCTTGCGGGTTTACACCTTCTCCAGAAGCACGATCATGATCCTGGCAAGGCTGCATATCTTTAGGAGAGACAATGGTATATCGCTTTCCAAATCGAACCAAGTCTTGTTGTTTGAGCAAATTAAACTGCCAGCGGACAAACGAGTCAAAGTAGGGATTTTTGTCTGTCGTGATGAACGAGCGTCTCCAGTCGACCTTGATGCCAAACCTCTTCAAGTCCTCGATTGCGCGAGGCGGAAAGTATTCAAGCCAGTATTCCGGATCGGCAAACTTTGGGATCTCTTCACAAGCAATGCCATGCGCCTCCATGATCTTGAATTGCGAAGTCTCATTGCCCGTTTTTGCCAGAACTTTTGAATGCTACGGCGATCAGTGAACTCCGTGTACCTTTATCGTTCCCGCTCCACATGAGGGCGCAATCTCGCATACTGAGGACTGGGGTTCGGTGCAGGCGCGATTCTGAAGCTCAAAAGCAAGTTTATCCGCACATGCCTTTATAGGCATGCCCGTACAGTGAAATCCAAATGGGAACAGCGTCTTTTTTCCCCGGAGCTGTTCAAAGCCAATGGCAAATTCTGCCTTTGACAGTGAAAAGGAATGGCCAAGGTGGAGTCGGCCATTCATGTATGGGAAGGGAAATGTGGCCATAAACTTTGGTGTCCCTTGCGAATCACTAGTATGAGACATGCAGACTTACGCATCGATTTCAAAAGTCCTGTGTGAGGCCCAATTGGCCTGAACCAGCCGTTCAATCTCGAGGAGCCGGTCACGCTTATGGGTAGACTTGGAGGTGGATTGCATGAGGGCAGAGAGCAGTCCTATTTTAAAATGTGCAAATCGATTGCATGTTTATATTTTAATTTGTAAAAATACAATGTTCCACGCCAAATTTGCTATTGCACCGCTGTAAATTGAATTGTGCATCATGAATTTGATGGCCTCAACTTGCATTTGAGAGCATGCTTTTCCTTTTTATCTTGAATTTAGCCTTTTGTACAGATATAATACGAAAGCCTGATGAGCATCCCGATGCCCCTATTTATCGCCCCTTTAGCACGATCCACATAAATTTGTAATCACTCCGCCATTGTTGTGTGGTATATTTCGATGGCCTCAACACGTGTGCTGCTTGGCCTCACGATGTCTTGTATTTTATGTTCCTTTTTTATCTTTCTTATTTCCGTGCCCTTGATTCAAACTGCGTCGCAGAGTCTATATTTATCTTCCACTTCCGGTTCATATCAGAAAGAATATACGGCTCCAAAAGCAACAGAGTCCATTGCTTCGAATTCATCGGCGTTGGTTAGCCCGACATCGTCTTACGCCTTTGAATATACGTCATTTATGCCAAACTTATCCAATGTCCTTCCAGATCTAATAGCTCAAAGGCAACCAGCATATAGCCATTTTCCAAATGCATCGCTTATGTTCCTTCCCACACGCCCAGAGGATATTTTTCGGGTTTCAGCCTTTTGTAAAGGCAGATCCGCAGGCTCTTACTGTTATTTTGCGCCAAACGCGACTAGCTGCTGGTCTGGAACGATTGTTGACTGCCCTTCTGGAATTCTGTCCTACTGCAAAGTGGGTTATGTGTGCACTGTGGGAAGGAATCGATCAGCCTCTCTGCCCTCTCAGGCTGCCGCCGCTAGTTGCATTGCTCCACCTCCACAGCGCATGATTTCGGTTTCTACTGTTAAGCCGCCAATTCTGCTTCTTGATGGTCTGATAACCATGTGCAGCAACCCAGTTGAGCTTCCTGTTATAGCTACGCGCATCGTCAAATGCACTTATTTTCGGAAGGAACCAAACGCAACCTCGACCCCAACACCTTCTACTTCCACGTGCTCTGGCTCGACCCCAACACCTTCTACCTCCACATGCTCTGGCTCAATCTCCACACCGTATACTACCACATGCTCTGGCTCAACCCCAAACACATCTACCCAATTTAGCCAATCGGGTTCGTCCTCCCTCTCCTCAGTGCAGACGTCAAGTACGACGGCAATTCTGCCATTTGTCGCTTCCTCCTCGCATTCTGAGCCATAAGCGCTATAGGCAATAAAATAGCTCTTTTGGATGCAAATGTGATATGATGGGATACGTAGCACACTTACTTGTATTGAACCAGGGGTGCCCAGATTGGTGAAATCGGGAAAGTAGTGAGAGCACAGTCTCTATCGACTAATGCAAAACCCACGTTGGACTTTTGAGGGCTACCAGGAATAAGATCAAAACGATCAGTTAGACGCCATTTTAAAAGCCTTAGGTTCGTATTTGGAAATACATACTGGCTCCATTTAGGCGGATTAAAGTGAGGTGGCTAGATCAGCAAACAAGGACATCATAACGCGAATCAAAAAGCCCGCACTTGGATTTGCTTAAAGCCTCCCTAGAAACGAAAAATGCTCCAACGGGGCAGCATTGTTCAACATAAATGGGGTGATGCTTTGTCAAACTAACTTGCGTTGATCGAAAGACCATCCTTGAAGATCTTATTGGGGTGCAAACTTCATTTCGGTGCTTTGAAAATAGTGTTTTTTTGAAGCTCGAGGATGAACTCCATAATGGTTCCGATCAAGGAAACGGTACAAGATATTTCTTAGAAAATCTGACCTCAAATTTGAGACTAACGTATGTGATATAACTGCCTCTTGTGTTTGAAACCCAAATACGGCTCTCAAAACGAAGCTGGAACGACAAAAATACCAGTTTTTTAGTTGATAGCTCAACTGCTGGTCTTAAAGGTGGTTATTTTGATGCTGTGAGCTCGAATAAATATGAATAGAGATTCATTCGGGAAAATAATAGTGGCCTATCTGAAATCTTTATTAGTGCCGCTGGAATTTCACCAGCAGGGATCGAACCTGGCGAAAAAATAAGACCAAAATCATGAGTATCACGTCTAAAAGCTCAAAAATCAATTGAGACCCATTTGTATATCAATATGTCTCACACATAGCTCTAGCATAAATGCGTGCAACCGACCGGTCCAGTTCGCAAGATATTCTGGCAATGCGCTCTCTTTGATTGAGCCTGTCCAGCGAGCGTAGAAAGGTGGCTGTGATTCCCGAGTTTGCAGGGGATGAAATAATTAGTTTTGTCCTTGCAGAGAGAAACCGTGGTATAATTTTGTGTGCTGGTAAGAATTGTTGAAACGCGCAGAGAAGCATTGGGATCACTATAGGAGCGTTTCCTGTCGATTCGTAATGCTTAGCTATCAGAAATGCAGCCCCTAGCACGATAAGGTGAAAATCGAACAAAAAGTCAATAAATCGGCGAGGGGCGAACTGGAGGCTGGCGCGAAAAAAGACTTACCTGGTTTCAATGGGAGAACAGGGGCATCATTGTGGTTCTGATAGATATGTCCTTCGCTAAAAAGATGTATCCAGCAGTTCTCGGCGAGTCTTTGCATAGCGGTCTTCACAGCTATAGTTGGGAAGCTTCCTGGCGCTCTAAAAACAGGGACCACTTGCCCTGCAGAAAAGAACCAGCGCGAAATGGCATTGCGAAACAGCAAATCCTGCGCACCTAAACTCCACCTTGTCCGTTCAGGGTGCACGACAAGCGGGACGAGCGGAAGCCATGCCCACATGAACGGATCGTCAATCATGGATTGATGGTTTGAGAAAGAAATTATGGGAAGGTTGCTTTCGCCTCTTATATGCCTCAATAGTATGGTCTTTCCCGTACTTTTTGGAACCTTTATCCAAGGCCGGAAAATCTTACACAACACAAGTACAAGCCCGATAATCAGACGGCTTCCTGCTACCATTGAAAAGTTTAAACTATTTTCTTAATTTAAAATAAAACGGTCTAGATTCCAGCTTTTCAAAAATCCCTGCAACAGTGGCGATTGGCACAAGATCGAAAACAGCTTCACCAAAATAAAATAAACAATCGAGAGGCCGGTTGCCCATGCTAATGTGCACACATGAAGATAGACCGGATTCTGAAAAACATAAAATATGAAAATTTCGCCCACATGCAAGTACAGAGCACCGCTTTTCAGTTGGTACACCATGAGAAAAAACCCTGCAAGGAGGAGATACGAGCTAGTTATTACACATAACAATACTAGAGGGTATCGCTCATGTATATGTTCATATGCTGCAACGGAAAATGCTACAGCAGGAAAAGACAAGATTTGGATGAACGCCAGAAAAAGCTCTCCCTTTGCAAACTCTGCCACATCTGAAAGCATAGCAGCCAAATAAAGACCCTAAATTGCAGTTGCGAGTGCTCGTTAAATTTAATAGCGAAATTGGAATTTCAAATCTGCCCCACATTTAATGATGCCATTTACACCTGTCAGCAACCAAGTTGCGATACCAGGCTGGAGGTTTATACTTGAAATGGACAGATTTAACGCTATTTGAGCAGCCTAAAGTAAATTGAATGTTCATAAGCTCAAAATAAGCAGATACTGGAGACTATTTGTATTTTTGTCGCGCTTAATTAGATCTTTAATGGATTAACCAAAGAGATCAAAAGAGGGCTCCTCTTCCTCTGAGTCCTCTTTTTCTTCTTTCTTTTTCTCCTCCTCTTTCTTGGAGGCTGGTGCGGCAGATCCTGCTGAGGAAACAGCGGGGGCTCCTCCGCATGGAACGCTAGCGAGCTTAGCACGGCCAGCCTCGATGAGTTCAAAGACGTCCTTGTTGCCAATGGAGCTCAGCAGGTTTTCAATTCGAGCCGAGTCTGCATCAATACCGACAGAGGAGAGAATTTTGGTGATATCCGTGTTGGAGGGTGAGCTGTTTCCTCCCATGATGGAAAGCATGTAGGCGGCAACGTATTGCATCTAAATATAAGATGGGCTTATGAGGGAGAATGGACAATGTCAAAAGTATAATGCAGTAAAAGGGTCCGGCGTTGCACATCTGCCCGCCCGATAAGTTCGAGACGCATGCACAGCAGATACAAGCAAACCATATAAATGTGTTATAGTTTTACACACCACAATCTTTGTACGGATGTGAGAGCCAACGGATGTAATTAGCAATCAGAGAGGGACGAAGCAGTTACCTTCAAGTAATTAAAAATAAGGCCGAAATTTAAAATTAAATTCCATGGAAATCTCCATCTCACGTCTCGTCTGGTATGTGGTTGCCTCATTATCATAGGGTCGCAATCGGCTGTCTATACCCCTCATACTGCTCTTTCAAGGCATTGAAAAGCGGCAGGCGAGATCAGTTTATGAACACACTCAAATACTGGTCCGTCTTTGGTGCCTTTTGTAGCGTCTCATTTGTAACTGATGCCTTGTTTTCATGGTAAGTTGAAACCTTTAATTTGCGGATAGGTTTTCATCCCATCATAATGGCTAGGTTCCCTTTTTATGAATTTATCAAAATTTCAACATTGATTTGGCTTGTGTCACCGCAAACCGGCGGTGCTCAGGCCATTTACGACACCATGCTGAACCCGTTCTTCCTTCAGCACGAACGAAAGATCGACCAAAAACTCCATTATGGTACGGAGTTACTTTCAGAAAAGAGTAAACAGCTGAGTGCCTTTTCATTTGACTATATGAAAATGCACCGGAGTATGGGGTTGAAGAGACATATGGCGGCCGGTGACCGCCACGGTGCTCGCATCTCCGAGATACTCTCCTCTGAAGATGAAAACTAGTAAGCATGCCGGGAAATCGCAACCAATAAATCTAATTCCCATTGTACGTGTACAACTGAAAAGCATTTGTAAATTGAGACACATTCATTCCATACATCCAAGCTGTGCAAAGCTGCAAGAGAAGAACCCCGGCCTTTCATGGATGTCTTCAACCTCTGTTTATTCATGTACATGAGCGGTTACGGCCTCAATGGCTCCAAGAAGAATACCAAGAGGCTCCTCATCTGAATTACTGTCCCTACCAGCGTGATGATTTGGTGTACTTGGAAAAAGCTTTTCGTCACCTCGATGGTTCCGAATATCAGAGATGTCGCTATGATCCAAATGAGTATCCCAACTTTTATCATCCCAACGATATTTGTAGTTTCCATCGTTCCATTGATATTTACAGTCCCATTGATTTTCAAGCTGTAGGAGACGCTCCAGCCGTCGCGCCCCATTGACGGCATCCATGAAGGCAAGCTTGATACAGTTCTCTGGGACCATTAATGCGAGCTGGATGATTCTGGAAGTAGAAGGTGGTGGTAATTCTGTGGACGCACCTCTGGCTCGAGTTCTGAATCGAACATGCGAAGCATCGCTATCATCCGGGGCTAGCACAATTTGGACCTCGTCCATATCATCAATCTGTTCCAGAAGCGTCGAATTACTGTATAACCGGGGCACTGGTGCCGTGAGAAGCCTCCGCCGCCGAGATCCTTGCCGAAGGTGCGCAATATGCAGCGGGCAAAGCCATTTTTTTGAAGCTGCTGGAACCATGGCCATTGGTGGATTGAGACAATCGAGGTGCCAGGAGAAGCTACAAAAATCACACTCAATCATAGGCCCCCGTAATGCAGAGCCTCCACAGCCGTGACACATGTAAGACGCTGCTGATACCGACATGCGAGGGTTTTTATTTTCGTCCCCATTTTTCAGAGATCCTTTTTCCTTAAAATGATTTCTTAGAGGCATTGAATCGACGGAAATGCAGTCAAGGATGAGGGCTTGCGGGATCAGGGGTATTCCATATAGGTCTTCTGGATTCCATCTACAGTAAAAGACGATCGCATATACCTGATGGTCTGTGCCCCCGGGCTTCTATATTCCTCGAGGTCGACATAATTTCCGAAAGCATCGCAGCCCACTAAAAATTGGAATTTAAAAGGAGACAGAATGTGGCGCAAAAATGAAATGAAAACACAACAAAAGTAGAAGGTATTGAAGTGCGGGAAACAAGCGCTGTATTTAGTTGGAACTTACCACTGGAAAATGTATGTAGAATTTCATTAGAAAGCGAAAAAGCGCACGGATTCTTGCCCTCTAATATTGATGATACGAGCTGGAGAAAATTTCTAGCCGGTGTGCGACCTCGCGATTCCTTGCGTGCATATTGCTTTTTCTTGATCTTTTTTTGTGCATTGCAATGTCTACAAAACCATTTAGAGGCAGAGGAAGCGAGCTCTTCCTCCATTGGTGGGTTCGTGCAAAGGAAATGAAAAGAGCGGGGACATGACTCGCAACAGATGAACTTTCCAGAACCTCGACAGTTCCAACAAAAGTCTTCATTGGGTACTTCTTCAGGGTTTTGGAGAATTCTTCTCCGCCCTGTGATTGGGAGGTCCACAGCCTTGTCTGGAAAACCGTTTGTAACATCCGTAAAACAGAGGCCCTCTTCCGCATCACAAGCTTTTATGATGTGCTTTATGCTCTGAATATTCACCTTTTCCTCGGTTTTCTCCGAGGAAATAGCATCGGGGATGTCTATAGCTTTGATTTCGGTCACTAGACTTGTAGCGGACAATTTATCAATCGGATCCATTGTACCCTTGCTAAAGTTGATTTTCTTCCGGAATTTCAAAGTAGCTTTCTTGCGAGTCAATTTTTCATCGGCTTTTGCTTCAATATTTACCTTCACTTGCTCCTCAATTTGGACCTTGTCTATGATTTGCCTTTCTGCAGATTTGTATTGGTCCTCAGTATCCAGATCTTCTATTTTGTCTCCGGTTGATACCTCAACGGTTGGGAAGGCCAAAAAATCGTCTGTATTGACAGGCGTTGTTTTTGGTCCATTCTTGATGCGGGCAGAACGTCTGGGTTTTTGCGCAAGGGACAATTTTGATGGATGGTGCAGAAGGTCCGATTTCGAGTGCAGAGAATTAAAAACGGATGGTAAAGCCAATAACGAAGGCTCATTGGCCGACAAAGGTGATCGCAAGGGCTCTGGGTAGTGGCTTGAAGTAGGTATACTGGAGCCCGCAACGGCTATCGAGTTGATTGCTAATGTAGAGGCCATAGCGGCTCTATGATCCGACTTCCGGTTTAGTTTTACTTTCCGGTCCTCTTGGATCGCTGTCGTAGTGGTTGTTGTTGGCCGTCGAATAACCATCCGGAGGGGCCTGGGCGAGAGGGACTCCGCCATCAGCTTGTAGAGGAAAAATTAAATTTATTTATTAGCGACATCCGCTTCGAGTGCCGCTAGTAGGCGACCTACGGCTGCGGAAACCTCGCCTTGATCAGCGTCACCAGTTTCATATAAACCGGCACTTTTTTTAGGACGCTCATCAAGTATTTTCCTCAAATTAGTGCTTGGATCTTGATGGTGAACGTATCCACGACCGGCAAGCTCGGTGGAAAGAGGTGCTCGCATAGCAATTGGCACCATGGATGCTGCCAGCAATAGACCCTTGCTTGCGAGTTGCACAATTTTGACCTCCGTTTCATTGAAAAGCGCAGGGGGAGATTGAGCAGGCAAGGCGTTGAGGAGCCATTTGGAGAGGCATCGGAAGAGCTGAGGCCCAAAGACGCGCATTGCAGGAATGGTAACTGGTAGAACCATCAAAATATCTTCCACCAGCAGATCAAGAAGCGCAACGGCTAATATAGGCGACAAGCGCTCCCCAAGCAAGCGGATCAACGGGCCTGCAATGCTTAGCAGCGGCGATGAGTGGGATACCCCGGAGTTTGGCACCTTTGAATTGGGAGTTGCAGCTAAACGGTCGATGCCGCCAGCAGCATTCAATAAACGCTGGAGACCTTTGACGCACAAAAGCCTATCATCCTCTCCAGATCCTGGTGAAACAAGAGCTCCCACATATATCTTGATGGCAGCATCTGCCGCTTCTACATCCATGTTTTCGCCCATCAGCGTGGAGCACTCCAAAATCCTACGGGCTGCCGCTGGCGGGCCTCTAACGCAGGGGCCAATCTCAAGCGTAGAAATATCATCGTCGAAACAACTGAGGCACTCACAATATGTGCGGTTTTCTTTAGTTAAAAGAAGAAGCGAAGCGGTTAAGGAAGGCGAAGAGGCGCCCTTGTTATTTACGGCATATCCTTCCTTCGAAAGGAAGATTGAGAAAAGTTTTCCAAACAACTCCGGCATGACAGTCATAGCGACATCAGGTTCCTGCACCAAGACACGCAAAATTAACGGCAGCAGTGAGCTCAGCTCCTCACAATTGTGATGCAATATAATTTTGTTTAAGAAGTGACTGGCCGTACTGCAGCCACATTGAACACATCCACAAGATGCCAGTAATTTTGAAAAATGAATTGACGGAGAAACACCAAGTAGAGACCTTACAAACTGCTCAACAACAGCATCGTCAACATCCAAGCGAACATTAGCAGAAGCAAGAAGTAAAACAAATGGAAGGCTCTCCACAAATGGCTCTGGAACTTTGAATATTTCTAAAAGCTCAAATGAAACTTCAATCAAAACGATCATGTTATCTGCGGTAGCAATTTCCTGGGTCATGGAAACCGCCCAATCAAGCAAAGTGGTAAGGATTTCCACGTGTGTACTTACTGGGAGGAGTTTATGAAATGCTTGTACCAGAAGAGTGGATGTTTTCAGCAAGCTTTTCCCCATCATGGGGTCGCTCGTTTGCTTAGGAAACGGAGGAAGAACAGCATTGAGCAGCCAACGAAGTAATATGATGACGTCCTTTTTCAACGTAAGTTGTAATAAAGAGGAGAGAAATGGAAGATAGGAATCAACACAATCGTCAAAGCTTTTGAAAATTTTCAACACCGGCCCGAGAGGAGATTGGGATACAGGAACACCTTTCTTGTGTCGTTGTGCATAGTCGCGAATCGTCGTATTGAAAGATTGGGAAAGCATGGGCACATGGAGGACCAGCATGCCTATAACGGCACCTTGACCACGGTTGGGAGTACCTTGAAGACAGCGATCCAGGGCATCTTGCGACCTTTGCTCAATGAATTTGTCGCCAAATTTGGAAAAAAGCTCGGCCATAGCTTTTGATTCTGGTTCTTGACTACGGGACTCAACAAGCTTGTCCTCTTTCTCAACGTTTTCGGTTGGTGGAAAGAAAAGAAGATGCCCCTTGGCCAAGCATCTGAAAATATCGCCCAAAATTTGAAAAATAGTTCTAGGCGAATGTTCGACAAGAACTTTCCAAAGCGTAAGAGACTGTGAGCGTATGTTATTTGAAATATGCGGAACAAGCCTGATGCAATAAAGTTCAGCAAGAAAGTGTTCATATGAGACTATATCCAAGTTAGATGAACACTCAAGTTTCAAACTAGCACACATGGTTGGCGATGTCGAGAGCCCCTGTACAGGAGAAGTGGAGTCCGAATAGGATGATGTAGAAACTCCGGGATCTTGACAAGATAAAGCTTGCCGAAGAATAGCACCCATGGAGTGAGCGTATTTCATCTCCAAAATTGACGAAGCGGATGGGGCAGATCTAAGTTCTGCCCAGCGAGTAAGCGCATCGAGAGCTAATAACTGAGGAAGCCCAGGAGGGGCTTCGGCCATCTTTCGCGCAAGTGCCCCAAGAAGAATACCGGGAACATAACACATGAGAGGCGAAAAACGGCCATCATAAATGGGCGGGGAATCGATATCAGAAACCTGGGCTTCAATTAAAGTAGCTGAAGCATCTGGCATTGTCTCAGAGATGGCGAGCTTGTTTTGATGGGGATAAATGGTAATCCAGTTATAGTGTGTATATGCATCTACTATCGCATGAAGGAGCCTTTCCAACCCGCGCTCTTTACCATCATCCTGACCGATGCGACTATTTGAAAATACAAAGTCAATAGTTTCTCGTAAAAAAGGAACGAAAAAAAGGCCAAATGTTTGCACGATGTTTTCCAGAAGCAGGGCGGCTCCAAGCTCGTTTTGAAGAATAAGCGGAAGCCAAAGCGTATGGAGACGATCTTTGACAAGTTCGAGACAATTGAAGCGGCTCCAGCCACGGGTTAACAATATCCACGAAAGGGGAAGAGCAGCAGAGTGTCCCCCTTTCAATTGAGATGTCCCCGATTTGATTTCTGCCCAAAGTTGACACTCCAAGTGAAGGTTGTCGGCAGGCAACTTGCAATTTTGAGGATGATTGAGGCAGTTATCATCGATGTCATCACTTGAAGCATTGTCCGAATTCGATTGAAGAAACCGGCTATGGATTTTCTCATGAAAGGTACCAGAAAGAATTCCGTCTTGATCCATAGCTGTAACGATGGAGGCAAGAGCGCGCGATGCTGTCAGGCGATTTGCTGCGATAGGATCGCCCTCCGCCATTTTCAAGAGATATGGAGTAAGCATTGAGGTGATAAATAAAAGGTCTATCTGGGTCGTAGTAACCATCGGCAGCAGCGATGAAAATAGAGCGGCCTTGCGACGGCCGTCCGCATTCAATAGGCCATGGCTGGCGGGTCCGAGGGCAGAACGCAGCATCAGCACCAATAAAAGGGTGGTGGCTCTAGGCAGCGGTTCCCAAAAGACGCGTCCAAAAAGCCCACCGATGGTACGAGATAAATGCGAAGGGGCATCAACAATTGCGTAAACAATCTCTGTGGCCGTCGCAACCAAGACCGCCGAAGGAGGGGTTTGAGAAGCAGTTTTCGGTGCTGAAAGCGATTCCAAAAAGCAAATAGCTGTCTGCTGAAGAGTGCGATGCGAACTAAAGAGAATGTTGCGCCTGGCCACGGCTTCAATAACAGCTCCGATTCTTCCTTCCATTGCGGCGCAAGAAATCATCATGGAAAGCGAACGAACGGCCAGTATTTTAGATTTCCAGCTTTCATCGTCTTCAGAAGATATCATTGTGATCAACGCATCAATGAAACGCCCTTGGAACAGAAGGTGGTTTCTTTCTGCGGCTTTTGCCCACCCAAGAATGATCTCTTCGTTTTCCGCCAACTTGGTACCACTGGCCTTGGAAGCAATTTCATAAAGACTCGTGAGATTTGAGAGAAAGAGATGGCCCCAGGGTCCATCCCCGCTTTGGTTACCCCTCATTGAAAGGACAGCATCAAAGAGAGACAGATGCTCTGCCGGTGAAAGGCTATCGTCAATAGAAAACATCGATATGGTTCCTCTTTCCATTTGAACTACCTTAATGACACCTAAAGCATATGCTGAAAGCGGCGTAGGGCAGCTAGATCGTGTCAAGGAAGATGTTTTGGCCGGTGACATGAACGATCCATCGCTTACGGGTTGATCATGATAGGAACCAAAAAAAAGCTCAATCGATAAAGGGACTTTTGTAAGGAGCTTTCCAGCTTCCGTTAAAAGAGGCTTACTTATCAAGTTGGCCGGTGAACCAAGGATCTCACATGCAATTTTAGCATTGTGAGCCCATATCGAATTGTCTTGTATTGGATTAAGAAGAGGGAGCCAAGAGCAGACATAGGTTTTCATCTCTTCATGGGATGCCTTCGGGAATGACGTAAAATCTTCCGATTTAATTATGCTCTCGAAAAGGCTCTGAATTGATTCACAGACATGAAGTGGCTGGCTAGAGGCAACTTGATGTGTTATCCAGCAAGCAAGCTGAGAAAATTTCTCCCTGATCTCCAAACTTGGGTCCCAACACAGGGGCCCCTTGCAAATGAATTCGTAGAAACGGTGTAGCAGAACAGAGATGCAGCGCGTCATGGACTCGCCGTCAATATCGATCGAATTGGATGAAACCAGCTGATCAGAGATTGCGCCCCAAAATGCATCAAGCAAAGAACAAAGATCTTTTCGAGGTTTCAAGTCCCTGAGCAGAAGGGTCTCCTGACGATGCCTCAAGTGACCGGGTGCACTTATCAATTCATCAAGAAATCGGAAATAGGATTTGGAAACATATTCGATGATCAGAAGCGGATCCTCTTCTTCTGCAACATGAGTGTTAGTCATGGAGCATTTAATAAGCTGCGTAGAAAGAGCTTTAGCGACATTCCACTCGACAAATGGAGTGTATAGGGTTCTTTCACCGGCAACATTCGTTCCATCCTGCTCATGATATAGCCGCCAAATTTCCAACAAGGGTCTGCAAAAATTCTCCTTACCAACATCAAATGCAGTGAAAAGAGTCGTTGCAATGGAACAAATTCTTGATGAAAGAAAAATATTGTCTATCTTGGATTCGTCGTTCTCTTGGTCTTCCGGAAAATCCTCTGCATTCTCAAAGATACAACAATAAATGAGCAGTGTGATGCGCTCTGAATGGTAATTTTCCGATGCACGATACTGCGGTACGAGGCCCGTCAAAACATGCAAAAGTATAAGTGCAGAAAGTCTCGATGAAGACGCAAGATATGAAAGAGCCATAGATTCAATGAAAGTCACAAGTTGTTGGTCCTTTGAACGAAGCAGAGGCATGTTATCTGAAAACAAATCCTCCATTGCCCCAAGGGCTGAATAGTGATCAGTCAATAACAAAGGAGAGGGTTTATGCAAAACAAGTCTCAAAAGCTTAATGATTACCTGAGTAGGGATGATTAAAGCAGCCTCATTTGATGATGAATAGACTTGCGTATTGAGTGTTTGGGCATGAAGGACCAGTTGAATACCACGAATCACTTCAAAGATCCGAATGACATCAAGAGAGGTATCTTCTATTTCTTCATTTAAAAGAGGCTCGGGATCTTGATCATTAAACGCAATATGAGCATCATGGTCATGATTGTTAAGAAAGGCTGCTGAAAGTAGAACACCAGCTATCAACTCTCTGATTATCAGCGTAGAAGAATGTTCATTCATCTTTTTCAGCAACAAAGCTGGCAACGTTGAGAGGTTTTTATATTCTCCGGAAAGGGAATGCGGAAAGTATTCAGCTATTAGCAGAGGATCATTTGTTTTGATAATTCTGCACCCAAACAAGTAATACAACTCTGTGATTTCCTGTAAAACAGAAGAGCTTGAGAGAAATAATTTAAATATTCGATGCGAATCAGCAAAGGGGAGCTCAAGCAAAAGTAGGTGGCCAATCTTCAACAAAATGTCTTTTGCATTAAGATTAGCAAAGATAAATTTCAAGAGGCACACAAAGTTCTTGTGGTCTTCCTTGCAGAATTCGATGCATTTCAACAGAAGAGAAGATCTCTGACCCAACCACGAATTAATAGAGGAAGATGAAGGTCCCTCTACCAGATACTTATAGAGAAAACTCCAAATATTTGGATATCCATATGGGGCCAAAGACACAAATGAATGTTCCAAAATCGGATCAAGCAACTCTTGATTTACAGCCACCAAGCCAGAAAAAAACCTTGCCACCGATAATGTCCAATTAAATGCCGACATTGAGGAGTCATTTTGCTGAGGCTCTTTCAAGGTAAATCCTTGGTGATGGAAGATTTTACACGAAAAAAGAAGCTCTATAAAAGAAGAACGATCCGCAACATGGACGGCAAGGATCTTTCCCGCTCTTTCGGGATCGTTAAATGCGATGGCATACGAAATTGCAACCGGAAAGAGGCGCTGCAAAATTGAAGTCGAATGCAAGGAAATGGGCTCCTGTTTAAAAATTTCCGATACAAATCCAAAAAGAAGGAGACTGGGAATTATATTTCCTGGCGGTAATCGCAAAGCCCATTCTGAAAATGACTTTACAAAATCAGATTTGAAAACTGGAGATGTGTAAACCTGAGCGCTACCTTCCAATAGAATTGATCTTGTCATCACCTGCCAAATAGCCAGATTTGATTGCATTGAAAAGGGAGGAAGATCTGGAGAGTCTCTATTGGTTGAAAAAAATCCAAGAGAAATCCACGATGCCAGAGAAGCAAGGACAATTTCATTTTTACTTTGAACTAGCGCTAGCAGAGAATCAGGAAAGCAGGAATCATCTGCAAGCTGAGAAACAATTATTGAAAGCACCGAAAATAAGACATTATCGGGGATTTTGATCTCCCCTACACCTTTGGTAGGTGAGCTTACAGAGGTCTTTACAGGGAAGATTAGTTGCGTTATCAGCATTTCGACCAGCGCATGCTTGAACTTTTGTGTAACGGTATCACGCAAATGAAAAGCTTGCAATGCTGAAAGCCGGACATCTATTGAAAGGCCCGATGAAATGATAAAGGCGACCACGTCGCAAACGATGTCGACACTTTCAGTCTTTTCTAGTAAAATGCGGATAATTTTGGCAGATTCGATTCTCGCAGATGACAGTGTAGACTTCAACCCTGAAATAACACCCTCCCTAAGGCCCTGATTCCAAACCTTTTCAAAATTCACAGGAACCGGGGAAGAGCACATCTTTTCTACGACCACACGAGTATTTAGCAGAGTATTTTGAAGATTTCTTAAAACCTGTCGTGAAAAGAGCTTCAAGAATGTTTCAAAAAATACATGATGATAATTTTTTGAAGAAAATGAATCCACTAAAAGCTGCAAAACGGCGCTAAATGTAGTTCCTGGTGAGGATGAAAATATTTGTTCACACACATAAGTAAGCGCTGAATTGGCAAACGAAATTTCTTCAAAAGATGACATGAAAATGCAAATGAAAGGTCCCAATACGAACGAGTCTTGAGATAATAGGGGATTTGCTCTCAGTTCTGAAATAAGATCTTTCTGCATTAAAAAGGAACATCTAATAGAGGATGAATTTTTGAGTCCAGCTATGAGGTTCTTAAAAAGAGCGTTGCAAAGCCGACGTGTTTTCATATTGCAGCCACCTAGCCTTACCAAATGGAACAAGATTACGGCGATCAAGTGCATGTTTTGATAGAAAAGTTTCAAAGACTTTTCAGAAAGACTGGACATCTTATCTTGGCAAATTAGCAAAACTAAAAGATGAATTGACATGGCATGAACTTTAGGACGTTCATTATTCCTAAAATTAGAAACTCCATGTAGGGCCCCTACCTATTAATAATGAATTGGAGCCTATGCAGCAATAGATCTCTAAATTGAGCATTTTCAAATAGATTGTCGCAATGGTGGATCAAATGGTTCACCAAAGCCTTGCAAGTTCGAAAGGAAGTAGCGGCAAAAGAGAAAAATTTATCGATAAAATTTCCAAAATCATCGTTAGTTTCCAAAAATGCATGCTCTAAATTAAGATCGCCAAGCATGGCAGCAAGAGCGTCCTCCAGTTTTGGCGACAAATGATGATCCCTTGGCCAAACCTGGTGGTCGCCAGTCATTAAAAATTAAATTCCAAAATTAAATTGAAAAATATAGGGCGCGAGTATCAATATCGACATCGCCAGCATGATGCGGTACACGCATGATGGTGTGTCGTGATAACAAAGTTTATTAAATTTAAAGGTATGCGGGTACAGTACCTTTAGTTTCCGGAATATAAGCCAGGATAAAAAATAGGTAAGCAATTAAAACAGCGAGAAATGGTAAAAATGCAAACGGACCAAGTACGCTGCAAAGCATCTCCGTTCCAAAGGCCACCAGCGAGTTGCATATCCAATTGACCGTAATTGCGAGAGAAGACCCGGAGCTGATCGCTTCTGATGGGAAAATATCGCCAACAATAATCCATGGTACAGGACCAAGCCCAATGGCAAATCCAGCAACAAAAGTAATTGCCGGTATAACCTTCAAAAGGGTCAACCCAAACAAAAATCCGATCACAATACAAAATGTAGAAATACAGCATATAACAGTCGAAAGCAGAAGCAGAGGTCTACGACCGCTTCTGTCGATAAGAAAAACAGAACCGCAGGAAAATGCGGCATTAACGATACCCAATATCAAAGGAATCACTTTCGGACTGAAAGGCAAAGAGATGCTTCCAAAAATTATCATGCAATAAAAGAAATACGCATTTATGCCAGAAAGCTGCTGAGCAAGATGGCTAAATGAGGAAACTAGCACACTTTTTCTAGCCTCTTTATGCGGTATGAGCTCAAGAATGGAAAGCGGCTTTGAAGAAAATACAGATTGCGAGGACCTCTTTTGAAGTCGCAAAAGATCCTCTGCGATGCTTTTTGAGCCACGAAGTTTTTTAAGCGACTTTTCTGCATGCTCAATTCCTCGCTTACTTGCAAGAAAAACGGGCGATTCTGCAGCAAAGAAGAGACAAATTAATTGAACACAACCTAGACCCGCAGTGATGAAAAACAGAATTCTCCAAGTTTGCAATCCAGGAGTGACCAGCGGAAAGGCCAGCGCTTGCGCAAAAATAATTCCAATAACCAACATGCACTGGTGGAACGAAGCTACTTGGCCTCTAATGGTGTCTGGGGATATCTCGGCCAAGTAAGTAGGCACAACACAGGTCACAAGACCGGAGGCAAAGCCAATTAGAAGACGACCAATAAGCAGCATGGCCAAATTACTGCTGAGCGACATCAATAAGCCGCCAGCCATAAAGAAAAAGCAGTTATAAAGGATTGTTGCTTTTCGACCGATGTTACTCATCAAAAAAGAGGAAGAAAGCGACCCGATCAGGCCACCGATGCAGAAAATGGTCACTACAAGGTTCCAGTAGCCATGCACATTTATGCATGTCGGAAATGCGCCAGAAAGCCCACTTTCCAAATCGCATTGCGTAAATATTTGTGAAGGCGCATCAATCACGCTAATATTAAATCCAAAGATAAAAGATCCAATCGATGCAGCAACGGATGAGAAAATCAGGGGTTTCGTCCAACCTGCTGGCTTTAAATTATGTATCGGTTCGATTTTCCCGACCAAAGTGATGGGATTTTCTTTATGATTTTCGGAATCCATTGGTGCAAAGGTGTAACTAACTATTAGTATATTAAAAAGATTTGGTTGATCAAGTTGAATGCGAGTCGAAAAGGTTCATTTTTTAAAATTTAAAATATTCTCGCATATGATTGGCTAACGCCTCCAAAGATCATTTGCTGGATGTCATGTTCGCGGATGGATTTGCAATTGGGCACATCGGAGTTTTGAATATGCCTGTTGCCTTTCGATGTTTTTACGGTTATCGCCGAAATTGGCGGTTTCTATGTAATCCCAATTGACTGTCTAGCATGGCACTTGAGGTTGTAAAAGCATATCAACACCTAGTGCTGGCCTCGCTCTTATTAATATTATCGATCAAATGCTAGCGTATTTATAGGCAATACAAGAGTATGTCGTTAAAATTTAGTAATCGTAAATATCTTCTCCTTTTCCATGACTTCGAGAGCGATTTCCAAGTCCTGCGGACTGGTAATGGACGCCCAGTCTCCCTCATTATCCCTAAAATACCAATGTTCCTTTTCATTGAGAAGCGCCATAAGTGATCCGTATATGGCTTCTTTTTCTGTGGAAATTATCGACCATTTCCGGTAGATGCATCTTTCTTTGTCCAAAATTATCTTGACAACTTTGCTATTTAGCTCGGTTGCAACATTAATTGCAGCCGTGGACAAGATCTTTTGATCCACATCTGCTTTTTTCCTAGTTTCCTAATAATTAGCAGGGACACTGGCATACTTGAAGCGCCGTTGATGAGGGAAAAGAGTCCAGAAGTATGTTAGAAGTGAAATTACTATTAATGCCACTGTCCGTGCAAATACTAGGGGCTTCATTATAAAGTAGGCGAATGGACCCTGGACGGAAAATAGCTCCTTTTTTAATCGAAAAAGGAACTCGTCTCTAGTTGGGAAAAAAGAAAAATAAATAGACAAAATACCTCGCCCCTATCTCTAAGAGAAAGCTCGATCCGCTCGTGTCTTGGAAAATGGATGTTGTCTGCGGCCAGTAAAAGATATCGCATGCCCTCCTCATATGCATCTGGTCCATTCAAATAAATTATCGCCAAATTAAAATAAGCCTCGCAAAGACACAATCTGAGGTCAATTCCGAGCTGCTCATAGTCAATGACTTTACTGTCGCGAAAACTCTACCAGTTTAAAACTATATTTGCTCCCACGTTGATGCATGCAAGATAGGATTTTATGGCCTCCTCGTGGCGCCCCAAAGCTTCAAAGAGATATCCACATTGAAAATGGCCAATCGCAAAAAACGTATCAAGTTGCGTAGATTGCATATATAATTGCAGAACCTCTTCGAGACTGGAGCGTTGCAAAGAAATCGACATTTTGGTTGTGATGTACTCTTGAATCGGTGCTTCATTTGAAATGGATGGGTGAAGGTGTGCCTGTTGCTGAATGAAATGTTGCAAAAAAGGTGTGTCCTCCGTTTCTTGCGCTGCCAGTATTAGACTTCCAATGTTATATAAGACTTTAGATGTTGGAGGCTCGATTTCTTTGAAAACCTTGATGGCTTGCGAAATGTCTCCTCCATCAAGAAATTTTAGCGCATGTATCCAATCATTTGCCTAAAGATTGATAACGGCTCTTACTTTTAAAACATTTGACATCGTTTGAGGTGGTGCCGCAGTCGTAGAAGGCCTTGTGCTCATCAAAATTATGTGGGTTTATATGGTGCGCTTCTTCTTGTACCATGGATGCCATACCATCACTGGGTGATTCCTACATTTGGTGATATGCCTGGAAAACTCCTATATCTGGGATATTATCATCTAGGGTTGGGATTATGAAATTATTAATGTTCAAAGCAGTGATAAAATTTAAATTTAAATGCTTATTTGATGGACAAAGCATAATCACGTTTTACACCTTCAGTTTTCTATTTGTTATAATCAGGTTTGCAGAAATAGCTAAATGGACCAATTAATTTACGTCCTCTAAAGTTCACATCTCGCTTTATTGGAGAAAGGTCTTGTGACCCATACTTGATGTTAACAAGGTCACCGAATTTTTCGCCTCCCGCCTCATCAAAGGTACCCCCAAAACAGCCGGATGAGAATATGCTTGACGGAACACCCATATCAAGAACACATCCTAATCTTGGTCTTCTTAATCTGGCAAACCTTGTTAACCACCAGAATCCACGTTCTCGTAACGGCGAACAACACCCACAGCGCTTTCAAGGTCAGCAGAATTCGCATCAAAACAAAGATTTAACCCCAAATTACAACGAGGCAAAATTCAGCCTTGCCCCCACGCAAAGATTTTCTTTATCGGCGGTGGGAATGGAGCCTGTCATTGGAGCCGCTTGCCCCCAGATACCAGGGGATCAAGCTTCATCGCTTAAACTAAAGGATCGTCTTATGGAGCTTTATTCTCTTTGTCTTTCATTTTCATCTCCATCGGCACAACATTCCTCGTGCGATTCTGGTCCTTCCGAGGGTACTCAAAGCTTTCCTCAGAACCAACCTGTGCAAGCTGCACCTCAGAATGCAACTTCAAATGTGCAGCCGGAAAACAAAATTGACAACTCTGCTGTTTCAAAAGAACCAAAAAAGGCGCGCAGGGTTCAGGTGCAAATTGCATGTGGTAAGATTTGAGTCCGATTCTTATTTATTTGTAGTACCTTGCAGAAAGGCTTGTAAAAAGTGTGAAAACAGCAGGCCTTGCTTCAGGTGCATTTCCAGGGGCCTGGAATCCCAATGTGTTAATTCAGAAAGAAAAAGAAGAACAAAGGGAACCCAACGAGGTCCGTATAAGCGTTTAACAGAACATCCCGCGCATCAATTGGCCAAAAAACCCCAGACGCACTCAGCACTCAAAATGCGCGAGATAAGCCCACAGCCACAACAATCAAACAACAATGGCTTCCCGTCAATCAATCTATCGATCTTAAAGGAAGCCATTGATTTGGATTACAAAGTCTCTCAGGATAAAGGAATCCAGCTCCGAATGGCCAAAGCGGTTGCTGGGCAAAATCTATTTCCAGGCCGGTGCACAACCATGCCTGGCGCAGAACCCTTGACATCACCACTACCCCCTCAACAAGTTCAGTCTTCCAACACCTTGGTCCCACCTCCTGCATCGGGCAGTCCAAACGGTGAAAATCAAAATGGACTAGACACTCTTTTATATCTGTGCCAGATTTTAGAGAAAAATAGCATCCCATCCCCTTATTTAAAAACCATCTAACAATAAATTATTCTTCCTTTTGTGTAAAGCCGATATCCCAAAACCCGGGTGGAGTAGACGGGGGGAGATGTTGGAATTTGTGTCGTGAGATTCTATCTACCGATCCCTTGTCATCCTGGCATTCGTAATATTTTGAACAGCAGGAACAGGCTTTTCCATGCAGAAGACGACGTTTGGATGGCATCCTTGTACTTTCGTTATACTTGAACAAGGGACGACATCTAGCATCCCTTTTGTCTGCTGTGGAAAGGGGTAGGGCCAATTTGACGCTGAAATCTTGATTTTCTGCTGGCGGCTCTTCTAATTTTGTAGAAATGTGTGTCTTTTCGCCATGATTGGTGGAATCGTACTCGCAGAAAATATCCGCCTTCAATTTTGCACCAGAATGGATTCCATTTTCATCACCGACGCCAGAATATAAATGGCCCAAAATGGATGGGTTATGGGGATTTGGAGCATCACGGAGGTTATAGGTATCTTCACAGTCTGACCTGATCTCAGCCAGATCATCAGTAGTAATATCAAAAAAGGTGGCTTCATAAAGTTCTTCCGCGGGCCCTTGGTGGGGGGCTAGCATACTTTTTGCCGGTGTGTCGGAAAGATTTGGGGTGCTGCCAGCACATTTGATAGATGAAAATTGCTCCTTGAAGGCCCTCTGTAGCCTTTGGTATTTTCTGGAAATGCTTTCCATCGAATCGACGAGCTGCCTTCAATTAATAAAGCAAATAAAAACGCACCTATTTCTGCACTGACTCTCTTCAAGAAATTCCAGCAAACTAAGGATAAGCAAACAGGCACAACTGACATCAAGAATAGGTTTTCGAGCGACTTGCCCTTCTCTTCCTCTTCCAATGCATAAAAAGACTCTAGAATTTCGTATTTGTTTGGTGTGTCTGACGATATTATTCTTCTCATCAAGCTAGCAAATTGACAAATTTAGCATACCTGCTCAAGAGCCTATTCTGGTTGAGATCCTCACGATTTAGGATGGGCTGAAAAGCATTGCGCATGTCTACATAAGAGCTAGAAATCTAGGCAATACTGTGGTGAAGCGTAGACAACTCGGAGACTTTCTCCTCCTGCAACCTGAGAAGGGTCGAAATTTCATCACGCGCACAAGGTTGGTCCATTTAAATTGAACAGGAATTTATTTAAATTAAACGGCACAACAAAATCCAAGGGGTTTTGCTCGAGCGTTGATGCATGGGGAAAAGTCAACATTATAGTAATAGACAATGCCAACCCAATATTTGG